ACATCAGCAATGAGATCCCTCATTCCACATTAGCATCTGAATCCAACTTGAATGTCTGGCAGTTCACTCTCATTGTATTGTTGTAGCTATTTTTGAATTATTAATTAAAGTACCAGTGACATACTTTCCGGAAGCATGCAATCTAGCATAGTATGACAAACTGACACAGAGGAGTGGTGGCACATGCTAGCAGAAAATACAAAAATACATAAGCGTGGCTTCTAACCGTATTGGAGTTTGAGGGCTATTTATACGTGTGAAGAATTATTAATAATGGCAGTTGTGTGGTATCATTAGTAATTGTTTCCTCCTTTCCAGTACCCAGCACATAGCCTGACATACCTAGGAACTCCGTCAATGTTGAATGAATGAATGGATGGATGAAAAATTGCACTTGAATCATTTTGAGCATGTACTTTGTGTTTAATGGGAGAACACGTTTAGAATTGAATTCACTTCTCACAGCTGTCCTATGGGATTGAGAGCTATTAATTTCCAGTTAGAAGATGAGGAATGAGACTGAAAACATAAGAAAATTGCCTCAGGACACAAAGCTGATAAACCCAGAAATCAAAGTTAGAGTTTTTAATGTAAGTCCAGGGACCTTTCTACTGTAATAAACTGTCTATCTAAATTCCATTATCTTTTCATTCAAATTTTCTACAAACTTTTTGAAGTCCCCTCATACATGACTAATGAAGGTCACAATGCTTGAAGGCAGTCTGAAGAAATTTTACTGAAGAGGTTTGTTTGGAGTTGAGTGTTCAAGGAAGGAGTTTTATTAAGAGAAGAGCAGCCCCGTTTAGAATAAGCTGTCTTAAGTTAACCCCAGCTTCAGAGTTGGTGTCTCTTTTTAAAAAAACAAACAAACAATTTTCTCTCTTCAGGATTGTTCCTGGCACGAAAGCCTTTTACTAAGTTAATAAAGTACTGGTAAATATCTTTCTGGTCTTCTCTGCTTTCATCCAAGATCTGATTGACGTCAGCAGTGATATCCCTTGTTCCACATCCTTGTCTGAATCCTGCTGGACCCTCTGACAGTTACCTGTCAGTGGACGATTACAGCTGTTTTTGAATTATTGTAATATTAAATGATATTATCTGATGATTTCTGCATTCTGTTGGCTCACTTCTCTTTAGAATGGGCATGAATATGGATCTCTTCCAATCTGTTGGCCAGGTAGTTGTCTTCCAAATTTCTTGGCAGAGATGAGTTAGTGCCTCCACTGCTGCATCAGTTTGGTGAAA